CCCCCCCCTCAATCCCTTTTTTTATCTTGACATGCTTTCCATACCCAGAGGTGGGAGAAGTACACGTATGGGAGTACCAGAGTGTAGGTATACTCTGTTACAAGTGAAAGTCCTGCATTGAAAATGTTACTCAAGTAAAAGTACAAAGGTATTGGCATCAACATATACTTAAAGTAAAAGTACAATGTTCCAGTATTTCCGATTTAGAATTAAATGTTTGTATTTTAATAATTAGTGCATTCATGTGAATGTTGCACTTGGTAAAGATGGGGATTCTTTAAATTACTCGATTTACTGCTGGGTAGATTAACCTATAATAATATATAAAGATGCATTGGTTGATTTATATTCTGTATTATAAATCCATATCTGCAAAGTAGCTAGTAACTGAATCTGTAAGAATTTAGTAAAAAGTAAAAAATTGCCTCCAAAATGTATATACTTTAATATAGTATAAGTGTAAAGTAGCATAACATGAAAATACTCAAGTGAAACAAAAGTACATCAAAATTGTACTTAATACAGTAATTGAGTAAATGTACTTCATTAAATACCTCCACTGTGTATCCCATCCTACCCCACACCGTGAGGCAGCGTCTCTCATGTCCGCGGCGTGTTGTCTCCCTCGGGGGGGTAGGATCCGACGTGGTTCGGGTGGAGAGATCTCTTCATCCATCACGAGGCAGTGCAGTGCCATCCAGGCGCTAAGTGTAAGGTAGATAAATGGCTAATAACCTGGAGGAGAGAGATGATTCATCACTTCCTTAAATGAAGTTCATTAAAAGGCGGCCTGCAGACATAAAGCAGCGTCTCCAGATCATCTTGTTTGTTACAGTGAACCTGCTGTTAAGCTTTTTATGATTATCATATTCCCTGATATGAACAAAACACATCTAAATACTGTAGGGCTGTAGAAAAAAATCTTCATTTTCATAATTAATTATCTGATGATGTTTATTGCATTGGAAGAAGGTAACTTTGTACTGCAGGCCACTTAGGGTTTTGAGTTATTTGTTTATGAGTTATTCATTTTGGAGCTACTTCTACATTTGAAAGGGATATGTTGTGTCTTTTCACTCTTTACTACATTTATCTGACACCTTTAGTTACTCTTAGGGTTGCAACAGTACCTATTTCTATAATTCACTTCCAAGTCAAATACTATGACACTACTTTAATTCATATTTATATTAGTTAGTATATTAGTGTCTGGTTTAATGTATTCTTATTTTTTGCTCCCCCTTGTTTTCTTTCTTTATTATTGCTCACATTTTGTTTTCCTTCTCAAAACCTTACATTACCCACAATGCAACTCTGTCACAGGGTTTGTTGTTAGTGGCTAATGTAGCATCAAACCTCAAGCAGAGAAGATGAGCCAGCTAATGATTCCATCAATTGTTGAGTCTATGAAATATCAACAAATAGTTATTAAAATGCTCATCGTGTTCTCACAGAGCTTGTAAAAATATCTATATAACAGTCCAAAACTGATAGTTAAATAACAGGGGATTTGCTACAAAATGACTGAAATTATCTTTAAAAATGATCTTTTATGAATGAATTTGCTGGATTTAATTCTGTCTATTGCCTTGTCGTTTTAGCCCTCAATAACAGACTTGTGCCATTTGGTGTGAAACCAGAAACAGATTTGAAAAACAAATACCCTGCTCCCAAACAAAGCTCCTGTCCTGACGGAGGCTCGGTGGAGCGGAGCGGCTGCTTACACAACACCGAGCAGCCTGGGAACAAACAGCCGCTCACTGTAACCCTGCCAACCAAAGTGGAAACTCCCCCACGCGTCCACTCGTGTGAGGACGTACAGCCGCGGCCGCTTCCTCACAAACTGAGGCCCGGCCCGGCCAGAGGGCAGCCATCGCTAGGCAACACTAGGCAGGAGGGGAATCCGCAGAGCCATGTTGCTCATCACAAACAACGGTCGGATATAATTGACACTGACGAAACAAAAAACCCAGAGGGACACATCGCTCGTCTTCGTGGTGCTTGATTCAGCAGCATGAAAGCATCGTGCTCTTCTGCTCCGGCTGCAGCGATTTGCATACATTATCTCCACAGGTTCAAAAACAAGAATTAACTTAAGGACTGAAAAACAAACCAGTATCATGTTTCCAGGGTAAAGATTAATCTCTGGGATTTGAAACGTGATTCCTGAAATGTTGTCTGCCTCTGCAGGCTGCCTTTGTGTCCCGCTGTGCTTAAAGAGCATTTAATAGCTATGTTAGAAAAAGAGCACCATAACAAAAAGCTAGAGAGCGATTCATTACAGAGATCATACTGCGACCAGAAAACAGCTAATTTAAATGGAATGTATCAGAAAGGGTTTTTTTTCTTCTCGGAAATAATATTAAAACAATTATTTTAATCAAAATGTGTTTCAATAACAAAGCCTTCATCACAGCAAACTGTCTGCTTTGACTTAGATTGTCTGCTTCCTTTTGCCTGCATTTATCATCTATTAAAAGGTGGGGTAGGTCATTTTGGAGAAACCAGCTCGAGTGCGCTAGAATTTGAAAATACACGGAAAAAATCTGCCACTTCCTTACAGAGCCCCTCCTCCAACACACACGAACGCGCACATGACCAATGAGGCACGAGATAAGTTTGTGCACAGATGGAAGGCTGACAGGCAGGTACATGCCCAGTTACCTTTAGCCGGGCGCTCAGATGATTGGTCGTACTTTTTACAGTAGCTACAGGCTTCCACAAGAACATTTTTTATGATTTTTTTG